GCCCAACAAACTTTAGTACATTGGTTTAAAGAGTCCCTCTTGACTTTTTTTTTTCTTTGCATTTGAGGGGCATGTACTTGTGTGTTTATGTTTTAAAAGGTCATTTTGAAAATTTTGAAGGGGTCATCCGGTGACACCCAACCTATCTTGCATTTTGTCAATTCCAAGTCATTGCCATCTAGATTAAATAAGTCCAGGTCATTGCCACGTAGATGTGATAATGTTTACCCTAGTTTTTCATTTGGGCCATCCTATCTTGGAGCAAATTGGTACTCTTGTTCCCTTCTCCGCATCTCACGCTCCAAATTTCACTATCTCCCTCCACCCAATTTGCGATTTTGGTGACTGTGACTGGGTTAATCGCCGACATTACTAGACAATGGAGAGAACCAAACCCAACAGTGGTAGTGGAAGTGTGGCGGTTTTCAGTGGAGGTTCGTGAATTTCAGGCAAAGTTGAGGGGTATCGGCTATGAGAAGAAGAGGAAACGCCCTGTTGGGGTTCGCTTTTGTCGTTGGTGCTTGCGATGATACGAATCTGAGCTTGAGCTTTGGTGCTTGCAATGATACGAGGTTAGTAAACTGTTCTGATATGGGAGTTTTGATGGCCATCAAGAAATTCAACCTAAAACACTTCAAATCAATAGTGTTTCTCGACTATCAAACACTAGTCAACACCCCAAATCCAAATGAATGTGATGTTACGTGGAGATTTCAGAATCGGGAAGAGAAATCATGGAGAAGGTATAGAGATTTCAGAAGTTTCAAGATCGAATTCACTGATTCCTTCGCTTACAAAGTAATCAGAGCAAAAGGATGGCATTCCAGTGTTAATGCACGTTGTCCCCGGCGAACCCCATTCGGAAAAGGTGGAGGTTTATTGGGGGGATTGACCTGCGTCAATGTCTGCATGACCAACTGCCATCGACAAATCAAACCCATAGTCGTAACCGTCTTCAACCCACTCTCCGGAAATTGCAGCGCCAACGGCGTCACATGATTCACCTTGTTATGCCACATCGGAGATGTTGGAGGGGACATCGGTGGTGTTGAACCAAGCGCCAATGGGCTCATCGAACCCATTTCAATTAAATTAACAATAACATATCTTGATTTTGGAGAAAGAAGAGTTGATCCGGTAGAAGCGTACACTGGCCGGAGGTCTTCCACCCTATGAGCAAAATTGAAACCCTAACCATGTGTTGTACTTGATGGTCTTGGTACCTATGAATTTTCTCAACATGGATGAAGCCATGATTCAAAACTCCATGTGTATATTCACACGAAGAAGAAAAAAGGTCATTAGAACAAAGAAACGTGTATGTGTAGGTTAAGAAGAAAGGGTCAAAGAGATGTGGATGGTTGACCCTATTCGTGCAAGTCTATCATTGAGTCGACTCATTAGTTGTCTATGTTGACTCACTGGGTTATATGTATTCACTAACCTATTTACTTGGCAAGTGACTAGGCAGGAATATCGGCTAAAATGATAAAAAGACATTTTCAAACGGTAAAAGACAAGTACGTGCCCCTTAAATGTAAAAAATAGTCACGAGGGACCATTTAAACCAATATACGAAAGTTTGTTGGGCCACAATGACAATAACCCTTTCTTTTTTGACTCTTTGTAATCTGGATATCAGATTCTATATGCTTTCATTATATGTACTTGCATCAAATTGATAAAATAATAGTAAATTAATAAGAATAATTACTGCTCTCATTCAATGCATTTGTCAGTTTCATTGTACGATTGTTACTTTTCTTTCTTTAACATTGTTATGTGTCTCTTTGAAGATCTTTAGTACATTATCTTGTTTTACAAACAATAGCAATGTACTTTCAAACTACATTGCTATAAATGAATATACCAATTTTGTTATGAGCTTAGACGCCTTAATCCAACAAAAAATATTGATTCATGGTTTTCCTAAAAATGAAAAACATCCAAAATAACAACATACTAAATTCAATTAATAGAAATTTTTATTTACTTTGCTTTCTGTATCTATTTATGTGGTTATTTGAATAAATCAAAATCTATATCGGTACTAATTTTTATAGAAAAACAAATATCACACTTGTTTAACAAAACTTTAACTACATTGATGTCGCATTTAGAGCCAACACTTTGGACACTTGATAAAACTTTCCCAGAACTGGTTTTTCATTAATTTGTAGTCCTTCTTTGTATGTGCGTCTCTTTATTTTATGGTTTTTGTATTCAGCTGATTATGGCAACATACTTTAGATTGGTAGCTACCTACATATAAATGATGAAATTAATTGAAAGTCAGATGATACTTTTGGTAAAAAAAAATTAACTAATTTGATAACTTGGAGCATATATTTATGCATTTCTTTTTTCTATTTAATATATTCGGCTGACTATAGCAACGTACTTCTATTTGGTTTTTAACATATTAGTTTACCATAGTAGTTTCTAATTATCTACCTAAAAAGGATCTTTTTATAAAACAATTTTCTTTTGTTCTACAGAAAATATGTTGCCATGAAACTATATATCTACAACTATAAGCTTGCTTTCTTAATTTTTGTTTTATACTTATAGACTCAATGGTTGCCCAAAAGATCACATTCATAATAGAGATGGATAATATGAAAGATGATTATACACTAAAAGTTTGTATAATCTTTTTGTTGAAATCAACACGGATACAAGCCCAAATATCCGAAAGTCAATGGAAATTATACTTATTGATGAGATGGAAAATTCCATTTTTATAAGATTTATTTACATTGTTGTACTTTAATTTTGTGTATTACATTAAAATTTTGTTTACTAAATATACATTGTTTAAGTGAATAAGCACAAAAAAATCGAGGTAGCATGTTTCCAAAGGATTTCAAAAGAATGGAATTGAAATTTGTGGAACATTCTATTATTTTCATATAATCCCCATAATTGCCCTTAGTACTCCAATTAAAGACTTGGTTTGAAGATGACTGCTATTACTGTACTATTAGAGCTGGTCTGACAGGAACGAATTGAGGTAATGTAGGAGGAGAATCAAAAGAGTTTGGGGATTTTTGGCCAAGTCTCTTTTTTTTATTATGATACTTTGGGATTATTTATCGACATGGTAGAGTTTGTGTTCTTTATTCAGGCAGGACCAGTCAGAATTTGATGGAGGAGGCTCACAAATCAAAATGTTTGATTCATCACGGTGTGATGAAGATGCATAGAGACTTTAGACTCGAAAATTGGTGGCACTGCTTCAAGTGAGATGTGGCTTGTTGGGCCTGGGTACATCAGCTCGTTTAGAGTTGTCACTCGGGTAGGCAACGTTGCATAGCAATTGGATCCACCTATCGATCTTAGTCATATCCACAACACTTTTTATGTTTCTCAACTGTAGAAGTGTTTATCCAATGATTTCGTAGTAGTTCCATTGGACGACATTGTGATTGATGAGGGTTTGAATTATTTATACTAGTTGATTGCTATCCTCAACTGAAACACAAATATTTTTCAAAACGAGTGTAACATCTGAATCTTGAGGTATATTTTAATTATTAAATCTGAATATTTGGAGTTTCCATGACGTGGCTGAGGCACCACCATGATGTGGCGAGGAAATTTTTAAACGCGGGTTTCATTTAACCCGCCATGGCATTAATGGGTTTTAGTCATAAGAACTTTCCTATGTGCGCATGCAAAACCCTAATGCTTGGATCTAGGCTTTC